TTAATATTGACTTTTCGAATTTTGCAAAATAATGTTTATTCAGTTTTTTCTTTCTTCCATTTGTTTTCAAATGAAATATTTTTTCTGCTTACGAAAGAAGAAAAAGAAAAAGAATTATTTGCATAGCCTACGGAAGAAACACTTTATTGGTAGTTGCGAACACCTACTTTACTTCTCTTATAAAAGAAAGTGCACGTGGTTCTCATTTTCTTCTGAGTAAAACATTCAATTAGTGGAAACATTTCATATCATACTATGAGTGATCGATCTAACGATTTACGACAATACATAAAATACGATGATCATGTAGCAAGTCCAAGGAGAAGTACGTTAAATTTGTGTGTGTTTTTTAACTGAATTTTTTCAGAAAACTTTACAAATAAAATAATGTAGGAACTGAGTTAAATGATCGTATGAACAATGCAGATGTAGCTCATGACAAAATATCAAAAGTAAATTCCATGATTTGTTGTTTTTATCATTTCGAAATATTGTTTTCTAGGGTACACCCCTGACTATGATTATCGATGCTTATCATCAACCTCCTCAAATGATCGATATGGAAAAAGTTCAGAAGGATAAATATACACTTATGATTTCAGTAAGCGTTTTTGTATTGAAGAAAGCACGATTAATATTATTGTTTTTTTTTTGAATAGCCATTCAGATATGATCAATTATATCCTAATCATGAACCAAGGCCGATTAATGATGGTCACTATATCGATCGATGGAACAAAAACTATGTTCGAATGCCATGTTCACCATGCTATACCTTGGTAAGTTAAAATAATTCTAATAGTTTCTTTAAATTAATTTCTATTAATAGGGGAAAAATAGACAGCCTATATGGACAATGATTTCTAATCAGTTAGCCAATCTGAGAAAAAAATGTGATAATAAAATAGCCACTGTTGAAGATTTAAAAGTAATTATTTTCAATTTATATTATAATTTCAATAAACAAAATATTAAAATAGACAACAATTGAATTCTGTACTGGACATCATTATGATATGTATTGTCTTGAAACACTTATTAATAAGGTCAATTTTGTCTTTTAATTGTAAAATTTAATCTATAATCATTTATAGGTTTATACAAATAGTGAACGTATTCATTTTATGTCGATTGTTCTATCAAATATTTGTAGTCTTGCACTTAATGTTGATAGAATTTGTAGTCGCGTATTGATTTTTGTCTTGTTTTGTTTTCATATTTGAAATATACAATATTCTAGTCACCACCATTATTACGTATTGGAACAACTCATTCAGTTACAATGTCACAACTGCAAGCTGCTTCATTATTAGCTTGTGCATTTTTTTGTTTATTTCCATATCGTTCTAATAATGAACAGAATGATGAATATGAAAATTTTCAAGATCCAAATTTTAATCAGTAAAAAATACATCGTAAGTCGTTTTCTAATCTATAATTTATTGGTAATTTTCAAGATTATATCGATATGGACCACCACAGAAAATAGAAAAACTCAAATGTATTTTACATTATTTTCGACGTATCACAAATAAAAGTGAGTGTAGAATTATTTCATTTCTTTCTCTGTTCTAACATTGCTACAATTTAGTACCCAATGGTGTAATTACATTCAAACGCTATTCATTACCTGATAATTCCTATCCGAATTGGTCAAGTTCAATAGCAAGACTCTGTGATATGCATTTGACAACGGGTAAAAAAATTGAAGATGTAAAATATACTTTACAGGTAAATTGAACTATTAGGTTTTGTATACTTTTAATTCTTTGTTTTATTAGGTTGATTTTGCTAATAAATATATTGTAAGTATCTAAAGAGCAAGGCTTGTTGGTTTTCTTTTTTACTACTAAAGTATTTTATGAAAATTAGGGAGGTGGTGTTTTAGGTAGCGGTTGTGTACAAGAAGAAATTCGTTTTACAATTTGTCCTGAAATGCTTGTTAGTTTACTTCTATGTGAAAAGATGGAAATCAATGAATGTATTTTTCTTATTGGATGTGAACGATATTCAACATACAAAGGTTATGCTAATTCATTTCAATTTGATGGAAACTATGAAGATAAAACACTTAAGTAAGAAATATTTTCAATCAAAATTTTATAGAAGGTATAATCAAAATAGAGATAATTGGGGTCAAAAATGGTGTCATTTAGTAGCAATGGATGCTTTTTGTTTTCGAGATCCAATCGTACAATATGATATGAAATATGTGAAACGTGAATTAATCAAAGCTTACACAAGTTTTTATCCTCAAACAATGAAGTTCGAAAGAGCAAATATGTTCGGTATTGCTACTGGTAATTGGGGTTGTGGTGCATTCAATGGTGATAGACAATTAAAAGGTAAAATTTAATAAAATAATCAAATAAGGTATTATTCATGTATATTTATTTTTAGCAATTATTCAATTAATGGCTGCTTCGGAAGCTGGACGTCCATTAATTTATGCAGCTTATCTAGATAAAAATTTAGTTAAATCATTCTTTGAAGTTTATGAATATTTATTAAAACAACAAGCAACAGTACGAGATTTATATCGATATCTTGAACGATATTCTACTGAAAATAATCAAAGATCATTATTCGAATATATTCTTAAAACATCAATTTCGTCTCTTAAGTCGTAAATGTTGGCTTTTTTTGTTCCATTGAATTTTTGTTTCTTCCATGAGAATGAAATGTTCGAGAGAAGCAAAAAAGATAACGATGTACAATAACATGGTTTCTCTAAATCAATTTAAATATGAATGAAACTATTACGGTTGAAAAAAGAACATAATATATTTTCATTGAAAAATGTTTTAGGTCTTATTTTAGCCTAATTATATAAAATATCACAATGACTATTGGAAATTTTTACTTTACTTGAATCTTTTCGTTTTTTCTACTCCTCTCTAATTAACAAAGAAACGATCTTTTACACTTCTAATACACGTGTCTTCATCGAATGATTTTTTTGTGGACAATGAATCGAAAACTTTTTTGTCTATACACTGCACGAAATCTCTCTAGATTGAATAAATTTAGAAAAGCTTGGTCCTACAGAGAGTTTCTAATGAGCTGCTTAACAAGATCCAAGAGATTTGTAGACTATAAATGAGAATGCTGCATGAAGTCAACTAAACTTTGCCGAAAATTGAGTTCTAACAATCATCTTACCAAAGTCTATGGACATGAAAGGAACTCGAATTTGAATTTGACTCCGACTTTGTTTCGTGCCTGAATGCCTCTAGAGTAGATATTATTCGAATCTCCAAAATGCATCATTTTGTACAGCAAATACCAGAGAATAAAACCTACTATTCAAAAAAGTTTTGTATATTAAAACTGAATTTTCGATAAAAATTTTAGTTGACTTCGTACAAGACTCTATTATACAGCGATAACTGAAACAATTGTTCGTTAGCTTTCCGCTGTCCCGTACTTGACTTCTCTATCTCCTATTATAATTTCTCCTAGAAGTGTAAATCGATCGACTGAGCCATCAATTTTTTAATATATATCAGCCAACGCCACCATTGCTGAAGATTTCAGTCACGACACAAAAATAGATATTTTGCTTTTAAAAATTTCTGACATACTAAATCAATTTTTGGAGATATTACCGTCTAGTTTCTTTTCAATAAGTTCTCTACCATTGTTTTCTCTCTTTTTTCGAAATTAAGGAAATTTTTTTAAAAATTCATGGAAAAATTTCAGTCGTCGCCGATCGACGCATTGGCCTACATTTCTAGTTCTTTCGTTTTCTCCATCCGATATTTTATATTTCAACACTACACAAGAATAGAAATAACATTTTCATAAATAGAAAGTTTAATGTTTCAACCTAATATACTGAATTTATTTTTTTTTTTATTCTAAAAGACGGAAACGACATTATTAAATCATATGAATTTGTCGACACATGGCATCATTCTTTTGTGTAAATGTATAATCTTGACCAAGATAATGACGTGTACGATTACCAAACCATCGAAAAGCTTTTGTTCGTTTTAATAAATAAAAATTTTCCACATTATCACTAATAATAAAATCATTGAAAAATTTTTCAAATTAAAATTTTAATTTAACTTACTAAACTTTCGATGGTTTTATACTCATTTGCATACAAACATTAATTGGTGTATCAGAATAATCGACATCAGTTGTATAATCAACAACAACATCTGTACTTATTGTTACATTAATACCCGTTATAACAAAATCATTTAAAATATCAACATGACTACGTACACTAAGACCCGAACTAAAATAAAATATAAACATATGTCAATAAATAAATGAATAAATAAATAATTCAATTAATTACTAATAAAACAAACCTGACTCGAATAACTGAATGTGAATTTTTATTCCATAAACTTATAGATGCCATACCAGATAAATCAAGTGAAGCTGCACTTTGAGCTTCGTAATGAACAACAAGACCATTATGAAGATGAATATAACGAGATAAATCATGGACCATTATATTGCTCTAGAATAAAATAAAACGCTTGATACAACACAGCTCCTTTGGAATTGAAAGATAGAATTCATGTGTTCTTTAGACTCATTATATTAATTCAAAATGTGTAAAATGAAAAATCTTTCGCAGACTATAGTTATTCTTCAAGATAATTGATCGTCAAAGAATAGAGTCCACGGGCTCTGTCAGAGAAGCGATCCGTCTCATTTATTTCTGCATTTCGAACAGAATTTTTTTTCTACTGAGAAAAATCAAATACTGTACTTTTCGAACATTCACAAAGATATTCCAGTCATTGAAATTTTGATGAAGACTTTAAAGTGTTTTAGAACAATCTAAGTCTTATTGTTAATGCCGTTCAGGATCTTTTTCCGTCGCTGAGGAACTCTGGGAAAAGATTCTGACACCTATTGTCCTCGATGGCTAAGGTATATAATGGGGAACCGCAAACCTTACACTCATTATGTTCTTCGAAAATATATGTGAGTGCCACAAAAGACAAATCAACTAATCATTATTCTAAAATACTCTTTGATTGAAGTCTTACTTTAAATGCTGATGTAAGTTCTGATGGTGCACTCCAAACAGCAGACATAAATCCAGTAACTCCACTAAATAATATAACAGGTCGTAATTGCATATTTAAAAGAGTTATTCTTAATTCAGCTTGAAGATTTTCATCTGGTGTATCACTTGCTTTTCCATCATCGCTAACATAAGCTTCAAGTCCTGAAGCACTTACACCAAACTAAAAAAATCAATAATAATAATAATAATAATAATTTTTAATTCTTTTTCTTTTTTTGAACTTACAGATAATAGATTAAATTTATCGTCCTTATCATATTGTTGTATATGAAGATCAAAATCACTTTCACGTAAAGCTCCAAGACGACTCATTAGTTGTGATATTGTATAATAAATACCAAAACCAAATGTTTTTAAAAATGGTCGACGATAAAAATCTGATTGACCTTTATAAGCTAAACTATCATATGTTATATCAATTAAACCACCATCAAATATATATTTTATTTTTCGACTAAAATAAAAATTAAAAGAAAAGAATTCGATTAAATGAAATTGAATAAACAAAAAAAAAAAGAAAACATTACAAAAGTAATTCATCATTCTCAGCCATTGTAGAAATTAAACGCCACATATAAAGACCTAATTGATGATTTGTTTTATCAAGAGCTGAGAGCTAAAAAACATTAAAAAAATACTAGTGATCAGTTGTTGATGTTTTAATCTATCTTACAATTAGATTAACAAGATCACCAATTGAAATATCTGTTCGAAGTAAAAGTTGACCACAAAGTTGTCGAATTTGTAAATTTGTTTTTGGTCTTCCGGCTTGTTCATGATAAATTGAACGAAGAATATCAATAGTTTCTTTTGAAAATTGTTCAGGATTATATTGTGTTAATGCATTTAATGCTAACCAACATAAATTTGTATTATTACAACGACGAATTTCATCAACAATAATTGATTCATATAATTCAAGTTTAGCATTATATAATGATAAATAAACTAATGATTTTTTTTTCGTATTATGAAGAAGTGTTGTATATTTTTCAATAGCCTAAATTAATCATTCATATTTCATTTCAAAAACCAAAAACAAAAACACCTGTTGAATTTTTAAATTTTACAACAAGAGTCAAGCTACGAATCTATACTGAATATTATAAATGGTTCATAATGGAAACAATAAGATTACTATGTCGTGATGGACAAGGTGATGAGAATCGCAAAAAAAAACTTTATTTTTTTAACCAGCAATATACATAACTATCATCAAATGGAATAAGAAATATTGATCGTTTTTATAAATTAAATCATCGAAACAAATGTGCATGAATAGTTTCTAATCTGAGGCATAAAATCAATCGTATTAAACATCGAAAAAACGCATCAAACTTTATTAAAATTCGATATAATATTCTAAAATATTAATCAATTATTTATTCAAATTTGATTCTACTTACCGATGATTTTTTGTTTAAATCAAATAATCTATTAACAATAGCTCCTAATGTTAAATAAGTACTTTGTTCAAGTTGATTATCAATTGATGAAAATTTTGGTAAAAGTTCCTAAAGACAAAAAAAAATAAAACATTACAAAATCAATTTCAAAATTCAATTAATTAAATACCAAAATTTTTTCAAGTAATAAATCCGATGGTCTTGGTGTAAAAGCACTTGTCATAAGAAATGCTTCAATTAACTCAACTTTATTCTTTGAATTCATTGAACTATCTAAATATTTCAAAACTGCATTTAATGAAGCAGGTGTTTGTGCAGATACAAATGCTTCAATAAGTGTTAATCTATTCAATAAAAACAAAAAAGAAAACAGATCATCTATTTGTTTTTATTTTACAAAAATTATTTACTTAATTGTTTTCGAGGCTTTTTCAAGTACTTTATTTAATGTTGATTCACTTTGTCTTCTTGTAAGTGCAATTAAATGTAAAAATACATCACTTGCTACTCGATTACCAACACTTGAACGTGTTAATTGTTTATTATGATCTTGAATAAATTCATCAAACTAAAACATAAATAAAAATTAAATAGTATAATAAATTACTCGTATAAGGTACAAAAATTAGATTTTGTTGAATTACACATGAGTCGATAGAATTTACGATGCTGATTACGGATATATAGCTTTTAATTTTTAAGGCCATGTTTTAAACAAGAAATTTAACCCTTTGAGAATGGAATTTCGTTTTCAATAGGAAAGTAGTTCTTTAATCTATTTATTGTATTCGTCTCAAAATGACCACATAAAGGCCTTATGATAATACATCAAGATAAGAGAGAGTGAGAGATATCATGACGCCAGTGTATAGTAACAGAAGCCAAGGAGAACATCTGAGAGAAATCTAGATGACAGGAAGAAAAAGAAAAAAGATATGCATAAGATGGTACATAAGACGACTTATTGTCTTATAGGTCATAACGGTTAAAAGAATACCAAACATTTTCTTTACTAGACAACAGATGGAACAACGTATGTTCCGCCGTCTTCAATGGGTTAAAAAGAAACAAAACATCTCAGTAAAAACAAAAAATAACTATTTCTCTTGAAAATCAAAGATTGCTGTAACTGAAGTTGTTCTATTTGAATTCAGCATAAAAACTGTAGTATCTACATGAATTTGACGAAATTTGATCGCCATAATCCAGTTCGACTTGTTTCACAAGACTTACTTTTGTCTGGGCTGACACGTTGACTTCGCTGATTTATCGATTCATCACTCGAAAACAATGAAACACAAAGAAATTTCAAGAAGATTATTCTCGAGACATGATTTTATGATTCTTTTTCCTTGATATTTAATAGATTTCAATTAGAAAATTATGACTTTGATAAAAACTAATATGATATTCTAAAACAGTATTGAAAACTGAATGGATCTACGTGTATTTCAAAATTTTTTGCAACCTTTTTTTTTTCATCCAAAAATTTACTTCTAACCTCCTCTCAGATTGGATCAAAAAATAAATTTCATGAAAACTTTGTTTTTATTTTTGATTCATTTGCTATTTGAAGTTCTACTATCGTTTTATAAACTTGGAACTTGATTTCCATTATCAAAATAGCTTTTCGATGAAATTCATTTTTTTGATCCAACCCTGAGAGAAACCAGAGGTTAATTTTTCGACGAAAAAAATGTTTGCGAAAATTTTTCAAATATACATAAGTCCACTGAATTTTGGATGCTGATTCAGAATATTATATTGATTTGCATCCAAATCATATTTTTCTTATCGAAATCTACTGAATATTAGAAAAAAAATGGCTCAAAATCATGCTTTGAGAACAGTATTCTTAGGCTTTGCTTGAGTAGCCAATGTTTATATACTATTTTGAAGCTCTTGAAAAGTATTGTATAAAAAAAATAGCCTGATCGCTCATGAAATGGGTAGATAAAAAATGTTAATTATCATGAACAGTCCGGTTTAATGTGCATGTGCCAACCATGGACTATTTCAATTGACGTGTATACAACACAAATAAATACTATATGACTAATTCTACTAGGAATTACTTCCGGATACTTGCATGATAGTATGACATAGAAGATATTGAGTATCTCAACGGAGCCATTTTCAATAATTATTGTCCTTCCCTATCTTGTCTAAAATACGAACTTAAAAATTAAAAACTAAATATCCGTAATCAGCATCATGAGCTCTATTCACTCATGTATAATTCAATGAAATCTAATTTTTGCTCAACTTTTGCATTAGCAGCACTTTACCTTTTCACAATAATCATCACATGGATGAATTTGTTTTTCTGTTTCAAGTGAATGATATTGTTCAGATGTTATACCTAAACAACAATAAAATTAAAAAAAAATAAACAATACATTTCAAATATAAATTCTAATATTAACTTAAAACTGATTTTAATGCTGCATCTGAACTTGAATATACTTGATGTTTATCATTATTTATCATTTCAATAAGATGAACACTTAATCTAATAAAATAGATCACACAATAAATATAAAATTTAATAACAAAACAAAACCAAAAAATCTACCGTGATATGACACGAAATCCAGCTATTTGAGGAATAACTAATCTTGGTAAAGCCATATCCGAACATGATGCTGTTTTTATTGTTGAGTTATCAAAGTTATAAACACATGTTGATTGAAAATCAATTGAATAATTTAAAACTTGTTTTGCACTACTATATTCATCCTTATATTGAATATTTGAACATTCAGTTTTATCTTTTACAAGACGATCTTCATAAATTCTATATTCAGTATTACATTTTCCTAATGTATCTATTTCTGTTGTATTATCTTGTTTATATTGAAATAAAGATATAATTCCTTTTTTTAAATTAATAGCTGCTAAATTATCATTTTCATTAAAATAAGTTAATGATACTACTCCTTGATCCCATATAAACATTGCTGGATATCTTGTTAGAGTACTTAATGCTAAACAATCGATCATACTATGAGAATTTGTTCGATTAACAAAACGAGCATCTTTTAACTAAAATTTAAAGAAAAATATAAAAAATAAATTTTATTTTATTTACAAAAGAAAAATTTACTTCAATTTTTAATAAATGTTGTTGTCCATTTGCACTACGCCAAACACTTGTTAAATTAAGGCGAGCATATAAATGAAATGCTGCATCAGTATTACGTTTTATATGACTTTCTTCAGAACCTGCCCAAATTTTATGATCCATATGAACATCAGTTGCATAATGATATATATAATCAATATTTGATTGAAATCCATACGATTTACTAATAGTTTCATTGGTTTTTTCTGTTTATAGAATGAAAAAAAGAGAAAAAGTAAATATTCATTTTATTTTTATTTTTTTATTTTTAATTAATTAATCTTTCATACCCGTAGATAATGAATAAGCTGGTAAAAATAATAAAAAACAAATGATCATGAACATAGCCATGAATAATACGCGAACTAGAAAGAAAGAATGATCAACACTACAAATATATGAATACAGTAGAAAAAAAAATTTCTCCGTCGACTTTTTTTTTTTTCTTCTTTATCTCTTATATATAAATGATTAGAACGCGTATGTATTTTATCATGGTCCTAGTTGATATTCAGTGGATGTGTTGTTAGTGGTAGCGATAATACAAATATCAGCCAATGTATGAAAGCCAGCAATCATAAGTTATAACGGGCAAAAAGAAAAGAGAGAAAAGTACAACAAGGAAAAGTCGTTTCGTTATAAGATAAATAAAGATAGTTTGGGAAAGAAATAGAAGAATGACCCGAACGTACATACATACATATATATATACATTATAAAAAAAAGAATTAATCAAGATAAATTCGACTGAAGAAAATAAATAATGTTTAGTTTTTATCGAAAATCAATCGTAAATATAGATTACGATTTCTCACGCATAGAAAAAGATAACTATATAATTGATATTTCAAGTCAAGACGTCTTTTATACATATACATAATGGGTGCGGTAGAATAGATGAATCTCTTAGTATCTCCACCATATGTTATCGTTTCGGACTGAACTTTTTCCAAAGGATGCAGTATGAAATTATTTATACAATCATTGGAAAGTATTAGTTGAAAAGATAGAAGCAAAAAATTATTCAATAATTACCGTGACTATGTATTGCTAACAACTTGCAATCATCAATTCTCAACATAACTTTCAGTTTCTTTTTACTAAAATGAAATATACTTGAATTTATGTAATATATGAAAGAATAAGTTTCTCTTCGAGCTAATAGTGTATTTGTAAATACAACAATGTTGAGTACAAAGACGTTTTTTCTTTTAAATCTGAAAAATAAAAGAATGCGCGTTTTGCATGAAAGATGTTTATAATTATGAAATAGAGTTTTTCAAACTTTATAAAACGAGCAGTAAAGCTTTTTCATATTTTTTTTACATTGTCAAATAAATTTTTGTGAAATATGATCTAAAAGAAGTGTTGAAGCGTAGTGTTAGAAATTTGGACCTCCCCTCCCCCCACAGGTCGTGACAAACGCTATTGATATACACTCAAAGACCGTATATCAAAAACGTTTCGTTCTAATACATGAAGTACTTCGTTATTGCATTTCTGGAGGATTAAGTAAAAGTATGGTGAAGAAATATGTTCCAAAAAAGATAGAATAAAATCATCTTCCTGTGATTAGCAACAGCAGCTGCATTGTGTTTCACATATTAATTCCACTGAGAATAATTTTTAGACGATTTCTACTCGGTTTTTTTGTATTATTAAATTTCAATTGAATTGAACTATAGTTCACTATCAGATTATGGCAACTAGTTATGATTTTTGTAGGAAAATATAGCGGTCTGTCTTTTATAAAATGATAGATGATA